GGTTTGTTCCAATCCACTGGTTGGCCATGTGTGGTGGCAGTCATGGGAAATTGGTTTGGAAAGTCAAGGTAATCAACAGAACAATAAATCATCTTAAAGAATTTTGTTCAATCGAGTTAAAGTAAAAGTAAGGAATTCAACACACAATTGTGTTAATTTTATACAAACAAAAGCCATTTAGCACAAAAATTTGCTTGGATATTTTTCCTTGGACATTGTTTGTTCCAAGAATCAAACAGTTGTCCAGGAGCAAAGCTCAAGGAAAACTTTGAGCATCAAAGAACAGATAATGTCTAGGATAAAGTTGGAGCATATTTTCACGCCTAATGGAGGCTCAAGTGTTAATTATCCTTCAAATTTTATTGGAACATGTGAGAAAAAATTTTTACATTACAACTTACCATTAACTGCACACCTAGGATGTTCACTTTTCAATGCTGTCTGGTACAACTTAATGAACAAATAGATGCATCAGTTCTTCTGTAACAACAGCTAAAATCTCTCTCCTCTTTACATATTTGACACAAGGTTTGAAAGTTGGGGAGTATCATTTAGGACATATAAATGGATGCACACAGTCACATAATACATTTAGACCAAATGCATGCAAGCAAAAATATTTGATGGATTATAAGTGCTGTTATCTCTAATTGATATTTGGAAGGTAACTTATGATTTTGTTCTGTAGCCGTGGAATTGTCTTTGGAATATGGAGTGCTAATGCCTCTTTAGGAAACATAATTGGAGCTCTTCAAGTGAGTATTTGAGTTCTCATTGGCTCTTTGACATCTTTTTGTATAATATTAAACATTTATGGTTGCTCTGGTTTTGGATTTTAGAACCCAAACCAAGAAGCACTCTCAGACTCTCAGACCCAGTGATGATCTACAATTTGTGGAAATTTCGCAATTGTCAATAGAGAAAGTCAAGAATTAATACAATTCTCAATATGAACTTTACAAACTAATTTATGTTTAAAAATTATTTTTTCATCAGGTGGCAGCTGTACTGGATTATGGATATGAGGTCAGTAACATATGGATCTTGTACAATTTGTTTGATGTTCTGTTAGACTTTGAAAAATACTTATTGAC